TTCGCATCGAATCGAATTTCTCCCGCAAATTCGGCGAATCAGCCGAATCGAATTTTTGAATAATTCGCTCATCTCTAATTCTGAGCATTTTGGAAGGTCTTCTGAGGTTATCTTAAAAAAACACTTCTAAATGCAAACGCTCATAAAAGCACATAAAAGCGGTATGCAAACGCGGCTAAACAGACTTTTTTAACCTACGTTTTCCAGCAGTCAGTTTCCATCATTCAGAAGAGTTTTCCAAACGTCCCGTGTACATGAACCCTTAAAAGTGTCAACTGGAGATTTTTTTTTAATATGTTGCTTAATTAAACTCCACTTAAAGCTACATATTCATTTCCCTGTCCAGGGGAGGTGACAATGCTACCAGATAAATTCACTGTAGAATGAACATGTTGTCACCATGTTAAAAGAAGTGGGAAAATAACAGATCTATTGGCAGAATCAACAGGTAATAAAACTATGTTACATGGAAAACTCAGTACTGCAGTATAGTATTTTTCTATAGCCATTGTACTTTCCTAAAACATAGAGGGAGAATCTGGTGCAGCTGTGCATAGTAACCAATCAGCTTCTAACGTTAGCTTGTTCAGTCAAGCTTTGACAATAAAACCTGGTTTATTACTAAGCAGAGCCGCTCCAGATTCAGTGTGCACCAGTTTTAGTAAATCTCCCCCATAATATTCCTATAATGTGGTATTGCCTTAAAAAAGTATTCATACCCCTTGACATTTTTCACATTTTGTAATGTGTTACAACCAAAAAACATAAATGTATTTTAGTGGGATTTTGTGTGATGGACCAACACAAAGTGGCACATAATTGTAAAGTGGAAGGAAATTGAGAAATGGTTTTCTACCTTTTTTAAAAATAAATATCTGAAAAGAGTGGGGTGCATTTGTATTCAGTCCCCTTTACACTGATACCCCTAACTAAAATCTAGTCTAACCAATTGCCTTCAGAAGTCACTGAATTAGTAGAGTCCACCTGTGTGTAATTTAATCTCAGTATAAATACAGCTGTTCTGTGAAGCCCTCAGAGAAGCCTTTCTCAACCTTTTTAACACAGAGGAACCCTTGAAATAAGTTTCCGGTTTCAGGGAACCCCTGCTAAAAATTACTATATCTACATCTCATGATACATTAGTGTGATGGTCAGTGGGAAGAATGACCCTTACACTTGTGGTCAGTGGGAAGACTTATCCAATTATAGATAGCTAAAAAGACCAATGGTTTCAGAAGGAACTTATCTGAAAGGTAGGAACTGCTCATTGCTCAAGGAACCCCTGGCAACCTCTGGAGGAACCCTGGTTGAGAAATCCTGCCTCAGAGGTTTGTTAGAGAACATTAGTGAACAAACAGCATCATGAAGGCCAAGAAATACACCAGACAGGTCAGGGATAAAGTTATGGAGAGGTTTAAAGCAGGGTTAGGTTATAAAAAAATATCCCAAGCACTGAACGTCTCACGGAGCACTGTTCAATCCATCATCCGAAAATGGAAAGAGTATGGAACAACTGCAAACCTACCAAGACATGGCCGTCCATCTAAACTGACAGGCCGGGCAAGGAGAGCATTAATCGGAGAAGCAGCCAACAGGCCCATGGTAACTCTGGAGCAGACATCCACAGCTCAGGTGGGAGAATCTGTCCAGAGGACAACTATTAGTCGTGCACTCCACAAATCTGGTCTTTATGGAAGAGTGGCAAGAAGAAAGTCATTGTTGAAAGAAAGCCATAAGAAGTCTCGTTTGCAGTTTGTGAGAAGCCATGTGGGGGACACAGCAAACATGTGGAAGAAAGTGCTCTGGTCAGATGAGACCAAAATTTAACTTTTTGACTAAAAAGCAAAACAGGGAAGCTTGTCAGAGTTGATGGGAAGATGGATGGAGCCAAATACAGGGCAATCTTAGTAGCAAACCTGTTAGAATCTGCAAAAGACTTGAGACTGGGGTGGAGGTTCACCTTCCAGCAGGTCAAAGGCCCTAAACATCCAGCCAGAGCTACAATGGAATGGTTTAGATCAAAGCTTCTTCATGTGTTAGAATAGCCAAGACAAAGTCCAGACCTAAATCCAATGGAGGATCTGTGGCAAGACTTGAAAATCGCTGTTCACAGACACTTTCCATCCAATCTGACAGAGCTTCAGCTATTTTGCAAAGAACAATGGGCAGAAATGTCCCTCTAGATGTGCAAAGCTGGTAGAGTCATCCCCAAAAATACCTGCAGCTGTAACTGCAGTGAAAGGGGGATCTACAAAGTATTGACTTCAGGGGGGCTGAATACAAATGCATGCCACACTTTCCAGATATTTACTTGTAAAAATTTTAGAAAACCATTTATAATTTCCTTCCACTTCACAATTATGTGCCATTTTGTGTTGATCTATCACAGAAAATCCCAATAAAATACATTTATGTTTTTGGTTGTAACATGACAACACGTGGAACATTTCAAGGGGTATGAATACTTTTGCAAGGCACTGTATGTTGCTGCCTGTCTTTATTCATAAGCATATTCACAAAAGCACAAAAGCTGTTGCATAGATATTTCAATATTGAAAGATAATTGGATCGTTCACTATAAGGCCACATACACACTATGTTCTCTATGATGCCTTTTCTCCTACAGGAGTTTAGCAGCAGAAAAACACAGTAAAAAGCTGCATTTTTGCGTGCACACTTACGCGTCTGGCGTTATTACATTCTGTTGGCAAGAATTTTAATTTATTCTGGCCATTACAATATATTACCGTGCAATCTAGTATAGACGCGCCTGGCGTTAAGGAGTATTTCTGCATGTTTTGGGTCAAGAGCTCCTCTCCTGAATGCAACTTTGGTGTTTTTTTTTTTTTTTTTTTTTCTGTAAACACCAATAGTGTGCATGGACACATAGGCTAACATGGAGGGAAGTTTAGAGGCAGAGAGAAAAAAACTCAAATGACTGTAAAAGCCAGGCTTTTAGGCTCCATGCACACTGCCATTGCTTTAAGGTCCTAGAAGCTATTACCAGCAGATTTTTTCTGCTCCTGGAAGTTAAATAGTGTTCTCCTATGTGTCCATGCACACTACTCTAGGCTACTCGGACAGCACAGTGGCTAAATGGTTAGCACTTCCACCTGGCAGCAATAGGGTCACTAGTTCAAATCCCAACCATGGCACCACCTGCCTAGCGTTTGCATGGTCTCCCTGTGCCTGTGTGGGGTTTCCTCTGGGTACTCTGGTTTTCTCCCACACTCCAAAGACATGCTGGTAGGTTAATTGGATCCTGTTTAAATCCCCAGTTCACATATATGTGGGCTGCATTCTGCTCGGGCACGAGAGCCCATTCATTTGAATGGACTCCCGTGCCCGTGACACGCAGGGAAGAAGTCCCTGCACTTCTTCCGATAACGCAGCCCCGCACGAGAACCTCATGTGGCATGTCATTAAAACTAATGACACCCGCCCGCGGGTCCACATTCCTCTGTGCGGGTGGTGCGGCTCCACGGATTTTCGTGCAGATCCACAGCGGCATCTTCCGCACAGATGTGAACCTAGTCTAAATTGTCCCTAGTATGTGTATGTATGAATGTAAGTTAGGGACCTTAGACTGTACACCCCTTGAGGGTCAGGGACTGATGTGAATGTACAATATGTAAATTTATGGTGCTAAATACCTGTAAAAAATTAATAAATTTGCATTTTTTGAGCTTCAGCAGAAAACAAATTGTTTTTTTTTTTTTTGGAGCGTTTTTCCAGCAGAAAAAAAAACACTAAACACTCTTAGACGCTATTAAAATGCCTTAGACGCTTTTTGCAAGTTTTTTTTTTTTTCCTCTACATGTAAAAACACTAATAAAATGCTAACACTCCTAAACGCTTCTGAACGCTGCTAAAATGCTACTAAAAAAACGCTATTAACAGCGTTTTCTCAGCATTTTTTTAGTTTAAATAAACCCACGATTGTGCATGGAGCCTAAAAGTGTGCATGGAGCCCGAAAGCCTATATCAGACAAATACTGCTCGCTGCATTCCTGCTCTAAGGATTCTATGCCTATAATTCCTCCCAAATGCTAGGAGATTGTCTAATGATCTGCTGCTGAAAGCAAACCTTGCTGCCATGTCACCATCTAGTGGTGTTATAGTGTACTGCAAAGAGACCATATTTGTAAACATACCGTAAACATATATTTTATTTTTTAAAATTACACCTCCACCCTTTTATAATGAAAAATAAAAACATGGAAAGACAAATATTAATAAATGTGTTCACACTTTACTTAGAAATAGACATTATCTTAGAATGAGCTCAGTGTTTTATGATATGCATTTCTTCTATCATTTTTTTTGTTTATCATTTTGTTTTATTCCAATGGTAAGGACTTGAGCTGGCAATTTTCGGTCACTTTCAAGCCAACAAACCACAAATACAATTGCAAATAATTTTCAGAAACTAATCAATCTACTAACCAGAAGTTCAATTGGCCACCCGGATGTAGATTATTCTAAAGTTGAATCTAGACAATACATTTCCAGCTTCTCTACAGTTTACAGGAGAATCAATTTAACCACTTGACTGCCAAAAGGTTTTACTCCCTTCACGACCAGGGCATTCTTTGCTATTCAGCACTGTGCTACTTTAACTGGTTATTGCTTGGTCATGCAACACTGTACCCAAATGAAATTTATAATGTTGTTTTCACACAAATAGAGCTTTCTTTTGGTGGTATTTGATCACCACTGGATTTTTTATTTGTATTATGTAAATGAAAAAAGATAAAAAAAAATTTGGAAAAACAAATTATAGTTTCTACCTTCTGTTCTAAAACATATCCAATAAAATAAATAAAAATATATTCATAAATTTAGATAAAAAAAAGTATGCTGCTACATGTGTTTGGAAAAACAAAATCCTAGTAAGTAATTGTTAATTGGTTTATGTGACAGCAGGTAAAAAAAACAATGGTATATTCTGTATACTGGAATTTATGCAGCTATAGACGTTATACTGGTAATGACGGTGATCAGCGACTTATAGTGGGACTGTGATAGTGTGACGGACAATCTTGTACTAACACACACTGATTGGCAGGGACACTAACTGACTAACTGACACTGACATCGTTAGTGACACTAATACAGTGATCAGACAGAATACTGCCCACTGTACTAATGACACTGGCTGGGGAAGGGGTTAAAATCTTGGGCAATCAAGGGGTTATAATGTAAATGTAAAAAAAAAAGTGCTGCGAATTCTTGTACTGTACCCGCTCCAAAACATTATCAACACCTTTGTGATTGACCTTTTTTGATTGTGTGAATTTCTTATATAAACCATAAGTCCAATCAATTACTTACTTCTATGAACCCTCCTTGAAATATACAATTGTACATAATTCATTTATATTCATGTGAATCTAACCATAAATCTGCTCATATGTGATTATCACAATATATTAATGGTCTAAATTAATGAAAAACTTGGAATGTGAATTCTAACTTGTGAAGATAAAAGGATTAATAAAAAAGGGTAGCCATATTCAATTAATAGAAAAAATGGGATATGTCAATTATTTTCTTTTTTGAGATGGTTTGTTATTCTTATTTAGTTAATGTGATGAGTCTGTGTTCGCCAGCTTGAACCTCTCCCTCCTGTTCCTCAGCTCAGCCTTTATCAAAGGTGCTTTCTTCACTGCAGCTTTGTTTATATCCTCCTTATAATCGGAACATGCAAGAAGGGAAAAGAAACAAGTGTCTTATCCGGGCTTAAGAAGATTTAATTGCTCTCCACATCCTCACAGAGGAAGCTATGAGGGGAGGGGCTGCTTTTAACAGGGAAAGAAACAGCCGTGATTGCTCTTCTGTTTCCCAGAGGAATTCTGTGTGAAAGCAAACACACCAGCTAGGCTTTGAAGCTGTGATCTGGACAAAGCAGTATGCAAAGCTCTATTTACATTTACACAATGTGAGTGCTGTGTCAAAGAGCAATACAGCATCAGCAGGGGGTGGGCGCACATGAGCCCCAAACCCAGGAGCTAGGCCAGCCTTTCTCAATCAGGGTGCCTTGAGGTTTCTTCAGAGGTGCCTTGGCAAAATGTATAAAAATTGCCCAAAACTTATATACAAGCCAGCGGGTGGAACAAGTCCGCCTTTTAGATACACAAAGCCAAAGATTTTCATTGTGCACCATTACGACCTCCTAGCCGCCGGGTGTCCTGACAACCAATGACATCATCAGCTGATAAGGAGGATGTCAGCTGCCTGCACAGCATCCAGTTTGACCCTCCACTGCCCCTCTCCATCAGTGCTGGGGTCACATTCAGCTCAGCGATGGAGAAAAACTGAGGGAGAAGAGAAACATTGGAATACTAGTCAGTACCAGTGTGCAAAAGTGTTTTTGTTATAGAAGAATAAATCAACTCTAATGTTTGGGTGTCCTACATGTGTGGATGTTGCTGTTAGATTAGTTTTTTACATTTTAGAATGGGGTGCCCTTTTAAAATTATTAGTCTTGAGGCACCCTATTTTAGAATGGGTGACCTCAAGATTGTCCAAAATTTTAAAGGGTGCCTTGACTGAAAAAAGGTTGAGAAACACTGAGCTAGGCAGTGCCAGAAACACTGAGCTAGGCAGTGCCATACAGGTACATCACCTAGCCTGACTGTGCCGCCTGTAAGCAGTACATGTACTGTGGGTGGGTGGCAAGGGGATGAAATGGTAAAAAAATGACAGCAATAGCATTGAAAATGATAGGATATTTCTGCTATGTTTGATTAGGACAGTTGTGATCCCACCTCCTTGCAGTCAATCAAAGCCATCATTATATGTCTTGATATACGATTTTAACAAAACAAAAGAAATACAATCCCTCAATCAGATTGTATAGCTTCAAGGTCAACTTTAAAGGGATTTCTAAACGCAAATAGACTGTGCAATGCCCAAGCGCTATTGCCATAATTTCCCCCACAGCTTAGTGAATGTGGTGAAGCTTAGCTTTGTAGAAAATACCCAATCAGGTGCAAGGAAAATTTTAAAAAATAAAAGAACACCATTTTTGCTTGCACATGATTGGATGATGGAAATCAGAAGAGCTTCACCGCATTTAGTATGCTCTGGGAAAATGAGTGCAACTGCACTTGCAAAGTGCACTGTCTATTTGCCTTTAGTAAATCAACCCAAAGCCTTGAAAAATGACCTGTGTACACAGATATTTTTATGAGATGGCTGTGATGTGACACGGTGCCTGTGTGGCAATTACCAACGAGATAGTGAGATCTTCAGTAACCTTTTACCAATGAGACAGTGAGATCTTCAGTAACCTTTTACCAACGAGACAGTGAGATCTTCAGTAACCTTTTACCAACGAGACAGTGAGATCTTCAGTAACCTTTTACCAACGAGACAGTGAGATCTTCAGTAACCTTTTACCAACGAGACAGTGAGATCTTCAGTAACCTTTATTAATGAGACAGTGAGATCTCCAGTAACCTTTTACCAACGAGACAGTGAGATCTTCAGTAACCTTTTACCAACGAGATAGTGAGATCTTCAGTAACCTTTTACCAACGAGACAGTGAGAACTTCAGTAACCTTATTAATGAGACAGTGAGATCTCCAGTAACCTTTTACCAATGAGACAGTGAGATCTTCAGTAACCTTTTACCAACGAGACAGTGAGATCTTCAGTAACCTTTTACCAACGAGATAGTGAGATCTTCAGTAACCTTTTACCAATGAAACAGTGAGATCTTCAGAAACCTTTTTACCAATGAGACAGTGAGATCTTCATAACCTTTTAACCAATGAGATAGTGAGATCTTCAGTAACCTTTTACCAACGAGACAGTGAGATCTTCAGTAACCTTTTACCAATGAGACAGTGAGATCTTCAGTAACCTTTTACCAACGAGACAGTGAGATCTTCAGTAACCTTTTACCAACGAGACAGTGAGATCTTCAGTAACCTTTGTGTATGTAGAGGATCTTCTGCTGAATTCAATAAAATAACAGCTGGTGATCATGTCTCCTAGTTGTACCCCTGTAATGTCACATGCACCCCTGATGGTGGCTACAAGTGGTATGCCAACGCACACAGTACAAGATTTATATAGCGCCAACAGTTTGCACCGCACTTTACAAAAAAAAGGGGAGACAGTACAATTGCAATTCAATTCAAGAGAAGAGGGTTAGAAGGATCTTGCTCATGTGAGCTTACAATCTATAAGGGAGAGACACATAATACAAAAAGTTCAAACTGTGAGAGGATGAAGTTGGAGGAGAAAGAAGTTCAGTTTGTAGATTTTTTTTATACTAGTAATGGCGGCAATCAGCGACTTATATCGGGACTGCGGCAGGCATTCTGACACTGGGTGGGAACTGACTGTCACTGACATCCCCAGTGACACTAATACAGTGATCAGTGCTAATAAAAAGCACTGACACTGTACTAATGACGCTGGGCATGAAGGGGTTAACATCTGGGGCGATCAAAGGGTTAACTGTGTGCTGTTTTACTGTTTGTGTGTTTCACTGTGTCAGCACATTGCTTTGTGCTGCACCCTCTACCCAGAAATGCAAAATCACATATATATTTGTATATATACAGTCAGGTCCATAAATATTGGGACATCAATACAATTCTAACATTTTTGGCTCTATACACCACCACAATGGATTTGAAATGAAACAAACAAGATGTGCTTTAACTGCAGACTGTCAGCTTTAATTTGAGGGTATTTACATCCAAATAAGGTGAACGGTGTAGGAATTACAACAGTTTGCATATGTGCCTCCCACTTGTTAAGGGACCAAACGTAATGGGACAATTGGTTTCTCAGCTGTTCCATGGCCAGGTATGTGTTATTACCTCATTATCCCAATTACAACGAGCAGATAAAAGGTCCAGAGTTCATTTCAAGTGTGCTATTTGCATTTGGAATCTGTTGCTGTCAACTCTCAAGATGAGATTCAAAGAGCTGTCACTATCAGTGAAGCAAGCCATCATTAGGCTGAATAAACAAAACAAACCCATCAGAAAGATAGCAAAAACATTAGGCGTGGCCAAAACAACTGTTTGGAACATTCTTAAAAAGAAGGAACGCACCGGTGAGCTCAGCAACACCAACAGACCCGGAAGACCACGGAAAACAACTGTGGTGAATGACCGAAGAATTCTTTCCCTGGTGAAGAAAACACCCTTCACAACAGTTGGCCAGATCAAGAACACTGTCCAGAAGGTAGGTTTATGTGTGTCAAAGTCAACAATCAAGAGAAGACTTCACCAGAGTGAATACAGAGGGTTCACCACAAGATGGAAACCATTGGTGAGCCTCAAAAACAGGAAGGCCAGATTAGAGTTTGCCAAACGAGATCTAAAAAAGCCTTCACAGTTCGGGAACAACATCTTATGGACAGATGAGACCAAGATAAACCTGTACCAGAGTGATGGGAAGAGAAGAGTATGGAGAAGGAAAGGAACTGCTCATGATCCTAAGCATACCACCTCATCAGTGAAGCATGGTGGTGGTAGTATCATGGCGTGGGCATGTATGGCTGCCAATGGAACTGGTTCTCTTGTATTTATTGATGATGTGACTGCTGACAAAAGCAGCAGGATGAATTCTGAAGTGTTTCGGGCAATATTATCTGCTCATATTCAGCCAAATGCTTCACAACTCATTGGACGCCGCTTCATGGTGCAGATGGACAATGACCCAAAGCATACTGCAAAAGCAACCAAAGAGTTTTTTTAAGGGAAAAAAATGGAATGTTATGCAATGGCCAAGTCAATCACCTGACCTGAATCAGATTAAGCATGCATTTCACTTGCTGAAGACAAAACTGAAGGGAAAATGCCCCAAGAACAAGCAGGAAGGAGGAACTGAAGACAGTTGCAGTAGAGGCCTGGCAGAGCATCACCAGGGATGAAACCCAGCGTCTGGTGATGTCTATGTTTCCAGACTTCAGGCTGTAATTGTCTGCAAAGGATTTGCAACCAAGTATTAAAAAGTGAAAGTTTGATTTATGATAATTATTCTGTCCCATTACTTTTGGTCCCTTAACAAGTGGGAGGCACATATGCAAACTGTTGTAATTCCTACACTGTTCATCTGATTTGGATGTAAATACCCTCAAATTAAAGCTGACAGTCTGCAGTTAAAGCCCATCTTGTTTGTTTCATTTCAAATCCATTGTGGTGGTGTATAGAGCCAAAAATTTTAGAATTGTGTCCATGTCCCAATATTTATGGACCTGACTGTATACTGTATATATATATATATACTATATATATATAATTTATATATATATATTTTTGATTTTGCGCAGCCCTGCCGCCCTGTAGCAGTATTATAGGTTAGAGGGCAGCGAGCAAGTGGTTAACCATAATTTTCAATCTGGTTGAATTACAGCTTCCAACAAAATGATACTTGAGATCCTGCCACAGAGGTCCTTGTTCATGCACTTCCTGTTATATGCTGACAACGCCCAATAATTTTCCTGCATTGTTACCATATCACATGTGCTTCCAATAGAGACTACGAGTGGTCGTATCAACACACATTACTCATACAAATCGGATGTAATCGCCATCAGCAAACCCACCCTGAGAAATCCAATGGCTGCAAAGAAGCCACAGAAAGATCAGCATCACTGAAATGCAACAAAGATGCAACAAAGGTAACAAAAGTATTTAACCTAAAAAAAAAAATGAAAATATGATATGATACACTCATTAGAGAGACTGCATTAGAAAGCTAAGTGTCATTTAGTTCAGATTTTTATCTACTTTAAGGGATTGGTCACGCCAGCTAAAATATGCATGTGCTGGTGTGCATTGTGAAGGGACGGTGAGGGACAGTGCAGACTGTTTTTTTTTCTTTTTCTCTTTTTATTAGCTTTTTGAAGCGATACAAAATGCTGTGGTCATTGTTACGGTGTGTCAGCAAGCCACATAGAAAACTATTATATTCTAAGTGCCCTCACATTGAGCCGGAGTTGATCTATGCAGTTGAGCCTGAGTTTATTATATATAATATAAAATATCTACATTTATATATAATACTGTATATCTATATTTTATTATAATCTATATTTATCTATAATAATATATTTATATTTAATATAGTATATCTATAGTTTTCTATAATGTAACTATATTTATCTATAATACAATATATCAATATTTATCTATAATATAATATATTTATATTTATCTTTTAAGTGATAATAAAGACTCAATGTTTTATGTTTAAAAATAACAAAATGTTGTACTTACCCGCTCTATGTGATGGTTTTGCACAGAGCTGCCCCAATCCTCTTCTCAGGTCCCCGGCCAATGCTCCTGGCCCCTCCCTCCTGCTGAGTGTCCCCAATACAAGCAGCTTGCACTGGGTGCACCCATGCCGGATTTCCTCCTGAGCTCTGTGTGTCCATTCACACACTGAGCACGGCTTGCCTCTGCCCCCCACTTTCTCCCCTGTTGGCTCTCCGGCTGTGATTGACAGTAGAGAAAGCCAATGGCTCCTGCTGCTGCCTCAGCCACTGAGGAGGAAGAGACCCCAAATTGCCACTGCTTTCATGCACATCTCTGGATCAAGAAGTGGCTCATCTAAGTATTAGTGGGCTGGGGGGGGGGGGGCTGCTGCACACAGAAGGTTTTTTTAGCTTTATGCATAGAATTCATGAAGGTAAAAACCTTGAGCCTTTAAAACCACGTTAATATAATATATCTATATTTATCTATAGTATAAATATCTTCATTTATCTAATATATGCAAATACAGTGCTCAGCATAACTGAGTACAACCCCAACACATTTGTCAGAAAACCTTTACTTTTCTTTCAGAATCAACATTTTCTATGGGACACTATACTACAAAATACTCCCACAAATGCGGGCCATTGATTGTAAACTAGATTTGTTGATTTGCACACACAAAAAAGGATTTTGCCTAACAAATTCATTGAATACCAATGAAAGCCTTAGGAGCAAAGCTAAATTTTACACAACAAAATCCTAATTAACAAGAATTCATCTACAGGTGAGTCTAACTATTCATTAACCACTAGCCTACAGGGCACCTATACCCCCTTCCTGCCCAGGCCAATTTCCAGCTTTCAGCGTTGTCGCACTTTGAATGACAATTGCGCAGTCATGCAACACTGTACCCATATGAAATTTTTATAATTTTTTTGTGACAGATAGAGCTTTTTTTTGGTGGCATTTAACCACCTCTGGGTTTTTTTTAATTTTTTCTTAAACAAACCAAAAACCACTGAAAAGTTTTTTATTAGTTTTTGTTATAAAATTTTGTAAATAAGTGATTTTTCTCCTTCACTGATGTGCGCTAATGAGGCTGCACTGATGGGCACTGATAGGCTGCACTGATGGACACTGATAGGTGGCACTGATGGGCACTGATGAGGAGGCACTGGTAAGTGGCACTGATGGGCATTGACATGCATCACTGATGGGCACTGAAAGGCAGCACTGATACATGGCACTGATATATGGCACTGATAGGCAGCACTGATAGGCGGCACTGACTGGCACTGATAAGCGGCACTGAATGGCACTTATAGGCGGCACTGATTGGCACTGTTAGGCGGCACTGACTGGCACTGTTAGGTGGCACTGATGCGCACTGATAGGCGGCACTGATGCGCACTGATAGGCAGCACTGACTGGCACTGATAGGCAGCACTGAAGGGCGCTGATAGGTGGCACTGATTGGCAGCACTGATAGGTGGCACTGATTGGCATTGATAGGTGGCACTGACTGGCACTGATGGGTGACACTGAAAGGCAGCTCAGATGGGCACTGATATGTGGCATTGATGTGCACTGGTAGGCACTGATATGTGTCACTGATGTGGCACTGATGGGCACTGGCACAAGGCACTGACATAAGGCACTGATGGACACTGACAGGTGGCACTACTGGGGCTACACTGATCGTCAGGGCACACTGATCATCAGTGCCCTGATGATCAGTGTACATGTCCCCTCCGCCGATTACTGACTCACCTCTCCTCTCGAGCTGTCAGCGTGACAGCTCAAGGGTAGAGAAATGCCGATAACCAGCATTTCTGTGTTTACATGTGATCAGCTGTGATTGGACACAGCTGATCACATGACCGAGCCGACATCTTCAGCTCTTTCCATGATCGGTGATCCGCTGTGTCCGAGGGACACAGTGCACCGACGATCGCCGCGCATATGCAGTGAGAATGGGAGGACGTCATATGACGTCCTCCCAAAACGAGAGAACCACCTTGCGCCCGTCATATTACTATATGGCGGGTGGAAGGTGGTTAAACAGGTGTCCAGCAGACAGTTGATTATAAAAGGGCATTACTTAACAAAGAAAACCCCTTCCCATTTCATACTCCCAGCAATGGCACCACATGAAAGATAAATGTCACAAGGCCTGAGAAAGAAAATAATTTCTTTACAGAAGAAAGGTGAAGGCTACAAGAAGATCAGCAAAGCTTTACTTATCAGCCAGAATACTGAAGCAAAAGTGATACAAAAATTTAACAACGAAGGAATTGCAACCATCTCACAGAGACGTCCAGGCCATCCATGGAAGTTAACACCTCTACAGGAGTGTTTTCTGATGAGAAAAAAAATCGCCATGCAAGTTCACCGAAGTTAACTGAAGAAGTAGAAAGCCAAACTGGAGTGATTGTTTCCAGTGACACAATATGATATATACAGCAGAGGAATGGCATGCATAGGTGTCATCCATGAAAGAAGCCTCTCCTAAAGCCCATGCACAAAAAAAGCCTGCCTAGAATTTTTCATGGACAATGCTGAAAAAGAAAAAGACTACTGGGACTTTGTACTCTGGAGTGATAAGACCAAGATAAAAGTTTTTGGAACTGATGGCTTCAAAACTGTATGTTGTCACAAAGGTGAGGAGTGCAAAGAAAAAAATGCATGGCGCCTACAGTGAAACATGGTGGTGGCAGTGTCCTTCTTTGGGGCTACATGAGTGCTGCTGGTGTTGGGGAGCTGCATTTTATTGATGGTATCATGAACTCACAGATGTACTGCTTTATAATTGAAAGAGAAGATGCTACCATTGCTCCGTGCCATTTGATCATCGTGCACTTTTCCAACATGACAACTATCCAAAATACACATCTAAGGCCACTGTTACATTTCTGAAGAAGAACAGGGTAAAAGTGATTTAGTGGCCAAGTATGTCTGCTGATCTGAACCCAATCAAACACCTATGGAGAACTCTGAAAAGACAAGTTGAGCATCACTCTCCATCCAGCATCCAGGCTCTAAAAAAGGTCATTTTTGAAGAATGGAAAAAGACCAATGTTGCAATATGTCGCCAACTTGTTCATTCCATGCCTACAAGACTTGGTGCTGTCCTTACTAATCATGAAGGTCATACCAAATAATATATGTAGTAGTGTTTGTTGTGGGATGTATTCATTTTTGTATCAACTAATTTGAGTAAAACTGAAGATTTTGTAATCTAAGTTATATTATTAACCTTACATACATGTAATGAGCTAAACAAATGTTCTATAAAAGTCAGTTTTGTCAGAATTTTGGAAATTGTTCTTGTGTCCATTGAGATATTGATTAAATTCGTATTACTTTTCAAAAGGGGTGTACTCATTTATGCTGAACACTGTATATATATATATATATTATTTATTTATTTATTTATTACGAGTTTATATAGCGCCAAAGGGTTTGCTCAGCGCTGTACAATAGAGGGGGGACAATACATGAAACAGTACAGTAACATCAAACAGCACACAAGGGGTAAGTGGGCCCTACTCTTTCGAGCTTACAATCTAGGAGGGAGGGGGAGTAGTGGAACAGGAGGAAATGGCTGTGGGGGATGGAGTGGTAGGAGGAGGGAAGGGCAGCGGCTGTTAGGTGAGGGTGGGGTAGGCTTCCCTGAAGAGATGGGTTTTCAGGGAGTGCCTGAAGGTGAGGAGGGAAGGTGACAATCTGATGGATTGGGGTAGTGAGTTCCAGAGGATGGGGAGGACCTGGAGAAGTCTTGCAGTCGTGCGTGGGAGGAGGAGACCATTGGAGCAAGATAGAAGGAGGTCCTGTGAAGAGCGAAGGGTACGGGTAGGGTGGTACCTGGGAATCAGGTCAGTGAGGTAGTTAGGGGCAGTGTTGTGAATGGCCTTATAGGTCAGGGTGAGCAATTTGAATTTAATGCGTTGGGCCAATGGGGAGCCAGTGGAGGGAGAGGCAGAGGGCGGTGGCAGAGGTGGAGCGGCTGGTGAGGTGGATGAGTCTGGCAGCTGAGTTCAGGATGGTCTGAAGCGGGGAGAGTTTGCACTGGGGTAGGCCGTGAGGAGGGAGTTGCAGTAGTCAAGGCGTGAGATAATCAGGGAGTGTACGAGTAGTTTGTTCTTTAGTGGTGTCTGGGGTTTATATATATATTATATATATATATATTCATACTGTATAATTTTTTTGCTGTCCACTAGTGACAAATTCAATGAGATCAGTTGTCTCCTAGTAGAGATATTCTTCCAGTTTACTCGCTGAACTCTCTGTTTTTAATTCCATCCTCAGATAGTAAGAAGCAGTACACACAAAATGCAGAGTGTGCTTTGCTCTGTAACGCCAATATATGGCATGGCCTAGGAGCAGGTGACAATGGGACATATGACTGCCAATTAATGGCCGCCACCTCCCTCTGCACATGTAGGGTTGATTTTTACCTCCTTGGTTACAGACACTGCACACATAATGAAACACATAAATCAGTCGAGTGCTGTTAAACGCACAGTAAAACACAAACAGATATGATCGGGGCATTTTCTAGCTTGCTCTGCCAAGCTGTGTTTGTTTTAGACATTGTTAGTGACACAATGAAAATATCCTAGCTAATTGTCTTTTGTGTTATTTTATATTTCCGTGTAAACATTATTTATCTGAGGTGTGACATAGAAGAACATTGCGATAGGTGAGAAATTTACACAGCAAAAAGTGCCATTGTCTTGTAAAGGCGAACTCTAACTAAACACAAAATGTTCTGATGAGCAATTTGATAATACCTAAACTTAAAGTATATCTAAAAGTTTTGTTTTTTTTTAATATTTGATAGAGTAATAGGTAATAGCTAAAACCCCAGTCTTTTTTTTCTTTTGTCATTTGTGACCCATTAGAAATATTTGACTTAAATTCCTTCCCTATAGACACAACAAGGAGTGAGAGATCTCACTAAAGTAAGGGAAATCCCCTCTTGCACAGTTGTTACCAAAGAAGTGTCCCCATTGGAAGACTCCTCTATTCCTATTTAGGGGACAACTCAAAATTTTGTCTTTTCCTCCACCCATATTCCTGCTGGAAATGGTAACCAGAACAAAGTGAGAGGGACACAGGCAGCAATAAAAACCTTATGGGGGTTATAACTCCTTGACCACTTTACCAAAACTGAAAAAGTTGGTTTTAGATACACTTGCCTTTTAAAATAATTTTCTAAATTATACCATGCATAGAAGACTTACCAGTTACATTCAAATTAGCCTCTCAATTTGCCATTTGGTACTACTGAGGTGAAATTTGCTGAAAAGAAAAAAAATACCTACCTTTAAAAACCTTCCCAAATTTGGATGGATCAGTCTGTCCAAAATCAGCTCATTCTTAATAATTAGCAAACAATCTTTGTATTGAATTCCTAAAGTGGAATCTCAGAAAAAAACTTTCTATTAAGTTTTTGAATAGAATTAGGAAGGTTTTTATAACTAGGTAGGAGTGTCAGGTTCGGCTTGTCTAAACATGAGTTTGACCTGAATCTAACAGTTTGCCAAATAGGCAAAAACTTGGCCAGATTTCAGCCTGAAGCCAAAAGTCTTACTGGCCACACACTGTCCAGCTGGTTACACATTGTACAGAAGCTGTTGGCCATCCTGGGTGATGTAATTGACTAAATATGGTCAGCGGACCCTGAGTTCAGTTTCTGGTCACCACTTTCAATTACCTGAAGAAGCACCACAGATCGACACATGACAGCCTATATCTAACCCTTACACAGTTTGCCAAAAAGTCAAAATAAATGGCCAGATTTTGGCTGGTTCCCAAACCTGCCTGAACCTCCATCTGCTTCAGCCAAAGATCCTAATGAAGCTTCTGGTCACCCACCGTACAGCTTGTTACACATTGTACAGAAGCTGGTGGCCATCCTAGGTGATGTAATTGGCCAAATATAGTTAGCTGACCCTGAGTTCAGCTTCTGGTCACCACTTTCAATTACCTGAAGAAGCACCACATATTGACACGACTGCCTGAATCTAACCTGTTTACAGTTTGTCAAATAGGCAATATAAATGGCTAGATATTGGCCAGTTCCCCCACCTGCCTGAACTTCTTGCTGCTGCAGCCAAAAGTCTTAATGAAGCTTCTGGTTACCCACCCAATAGCTTGTAACACACTGTACAGCAGCTGGTGACCATCCTGGGTGATGTAATTGACCAATATAGTCAGCTGGCACTGAGTTCAGCTTCTCATCACCAGTGTCATCTACCTGAAGAAGCACCACAGATCGACACATGATGACCAACTTACAAGAGAGTAAGAGGGTCTTAGAATAAATAACTAGAAGTGGGTGAGGGAGGGGAGTGATCATTTTTTCCACCATTGGGCTTTTAGCTTTGGGATCTCATGTTGTAGACAAAAATATTGATCATTTTTGCTTTTTTTTACTCAAATGAGTAAAACAAAGGGTAAGGTGTGAAGACATTTAAAAAAGGTGGCCAGTCCCAAAAATGTGGCTAGTCCAGGTGGTTAATTTATATTGATAACCAAATGAAGATCATTTTAAATGTGTATCTGGCCTCCAAGTTTTTTTTTTCTAAAGACCATTTACAAACTGGATGTTTCCTGACACTCATAAAACAAACATTTTAAGCAACCCAACTCCTAAAGCTAGATTCACACCTGCAGAGCCTTGTAAACTTGCTCACCATAAAATTACTTGTAAAAGCAAAAATCAACACAAAGCTTACACAATTTTTATTGAGCTGTTTATTATGCCAAGTTTGACATTGAACTATGAGACTGAGCCAGGGCATACAATCTAAACCTGGTAACATTAGCCAGACTTAGGGATTTGATTAATTATTTCTGAATGGATTAGGACCAGAATAAATTATAGCCAATCCTGTACACGCTGGTAATATCCTACTGTAGATGAATGATGAGTGCTGG